TTTTTTGGGGGGGGGGGGACATACCCCCTCATACCCCCCTCAAGTTTCGCCCCTACAAATATCTTTGCGCAACAATGATTCCAAGTTTGTTCCGTGCTTTAAGGGATATTTATATGAACTCCTAAGAAATCCTTAAACCTCTGATTGAATATTTAATGTATTGAATAACTATGCAAGATATATTTTGGCGCTTCTTAAATTGTGCGTTCCATCCATCGCCTAGTATATTCTATGGATACCAATCTTGGATTTGGACCAACTTTTAGACCCTGGGAACGAGGTTGCTTTTCCATTCGTTCCAAGCTATCTTTTCCAAGAGACAAAATCGAACTGCACCAGTGAAGGACGTTTAACTGTGAAAGAAACATCTCCCAGGCACCAACTCGAAATTCGTCATAAAAAAGATAAATTAAGAGGAAATATAAAATCCATAATTTCATCATAACTATCTATAACTGAAAGATATGTTTTCATCCTTAAGCCCAGATTTTTATCAATGCAATAAAATCCATGCATTGATGCATGTCAGTACGTGAGTTTCCTATCCATTACTTTTATGATCCATGTTAACAATACGGCAGAAAGATTCTGTATGAAACGTTCATATATATATGGTCACAAAAATTAATATATTGACTGATACCACAAATATATCTCGGCATAGGCCATTTCACAAAATGCCGCGTTTCTCAAAACGCTTTATAAGCGGGACCTTATCTCAATGATATTTCCAGGGTTCTGGACATTTTCATTACTTTGTGAGAGTTTATTTTCTTTAATTGATTTATATACATTTTTACTTTTGACTTGTCTCCATGTGATAAAATATGAACCTACTTTGAAATTCTAGCCTAAATAGATTCTTACAGTATTTAAATAAAAAAATAGCCTGACAAGTTCTTAAATTATATTGTCCAAAAGTGGGTCTTGGTATTTGAAATCAGACCTTTCTTTCTCCTACTAGATGGATTTTCTGCCCAGGCTTATGAGCTCCTTTTACCCAAAGCAATCTGGTTTCAAGGTCCCAGACACTTGCCAGTTCATATTGTACTATGATTGCTTGATCTTGTGTCACAAGAGTGGCACCATCCCATATTAAATATATGTTGTCAGAGGAGCCATGGTCTGTTTTGTGACATGAAATTAGACAACACAGTACAACCCTGTGCATAAGAAACTAGATTTTTTCTAAGTTAGCTTAAACAATTTCTTATATGTGAATGGTGCTTACCTGACTGTTCATGTCACAAATTGTAATTATGTTTATAGTATATTCAGTATTTTCAGAGGGGGGGGGGGGGCACCTTGCATGGGCCCTTGAGTCATGTTCATACTTATTCTCTTGGAGTTCTCTTTCAAATGCCAAAATATGTGTGTTTTAATTTAAAATAATTGTTTATAAATTATTTGTATTACCATATAACAGCCCAATATAGAGCAAAGTAATAATATATTTAGCAACAGTCCTCCGTCTAGAACAAAGAGACACGATGAACCAACATCAATTAACAGAATTGTTGAACCATATTACTCTCATAACAATTATGTTGATGTTCAATGAATTCATACTTGACATACTTCCAGTTCATAATTTCAAAACATACTTTTTATAACACAAAAAAGTTTAATATAATCTTAGCGTCTCGTCACTGTCAATCTCTTGAGACTTGAACTCTTCTGGTTGTTTATACAGCATCCAAAATCATCTCCATATGGCGCGCACGAGCTCGAACTAAAGCTGTTTAAATTATCCAGCTTTTGCATGGTCAACAATTTCGCCCTTGGCCTTGCCACTTTTTGCCACGAACATATATCATATAGGAACTGCAGCCACATTCTCAATCACACTTGTTTCGAATTCGTCAAGCGAAAAATGCTTTCCTCAAGTGCTTCTGTCGTAATAGCAACAACAACTCTGCCAACATGATTAGAGGGAGTGATGAAAACACAATCGAACTCACACCTTCGCACAAATGAAAACACAATCGAACTCACACCTTCGCGATTTCGATTCGGCGCTCCAGCTGTTGATCTATTCAAATTAGTCACACAAGCCCAAAGCGACCTCTTTACGTGAGATTTGTAAATTAAAAAGTTACAGTATAAGATTGTGTTATTGTGTACAAGAATTTCCAGTGTACAAATATACAAGAAACGCAGCGAAGTATTGTCAAACATTGCACTCCTCGGTCGCAATTCTACTTCGTCATCAACTCGGTCGTTCCGGAGTTGTACGGGAGTGAGTGCAGCGCATTCGCAAAACCAGTTGTGCAGTTTGCGCGGAATAAACCAGCCTCGTGTTTTTTCATCCAGAAGATTTTTTGATGTTTTTTACTATTTCTAACCGTTGGTAATGTATCCTCAAAAGAAATATCTATTTCTGTTGCAGTTTTTCAGCTAAGTATCACAATTTTGTCTTGTATTTTGCATGGTTTGATTAATTTTATGCTGTTTATTTAGGCAACATGGCGGCTCATTCGGATGACCCGAATGACCTTGAAAGTCATCTTGATTATGACGAGTCTGACGACTTAGATATGCCCAAACAAGCAAACAAAGACCCTGAGCATGATAGGGCAGATTTTCATGAGTTCTTCTCGTCTTTACAGAAGACTATGTCTACACAAACAGCATTATTGTCCATTTTAGTGGCCGAACGCCAAGGCGAAAAACGAGCTAACACCAGTAGTGTCACGGCTTCGGCCAGCTCGAGCAAACGTCAGAAATATGACTCGAATGATACACAACCTCAAGTAGGCTTACAAGATATAGCTGCAGAGACAGCAACTACAAGTGCTTCAGAGGAAGCAACTAACAATGCATCAGAGGAAGCAACAAATTCGATTTCAGAGTCAGACAATGAGCAACACACAAGTGAGCAAAATGACGATAGGTTAAGTGTACATGGGGATGAGCATGACCCTGATCTTGCCGGGTCAATGAGTGAGGATGAAGACAATACCAGTCTTCTGACAAAAGTAGGCGAATCACTCTGTCCCACTGAGGATCATGGACCACAAGTTATTGGAAAACTTTCACAACTAGTGAATACTAAGTTTGTGATGGATCTTGACCTTGAAAAAAGGAAACAACTTTCTGAAAAGTACTAAACACCCAAAATTTGTGAGGCACTTTATGTGCCACGTGTTAACCCGGACATATGGGGAAAATTAAACCCAACAACTAAGCAGCGAGACATAAAGATGTCAACCTTACAAGACCTCTTACTCAGAGTGTCAAATGCTGTAATTATCTCATTGAACACACTTTAAGACTGTCGAGAGAAACGATCAATTCCTGATTACAAATCTGTTATGTCTAACTTGATCGACTGAATTGCTCTTATTGGGCATGTTCATAAAGAACTTTCGTTCAAACGAAGAGACCAGATCCGACCAAGTCTGACAAATGAATTCAAACCAGCATGCTCTCGTAACAATAAAATAGAGAAATCATTTTTTTTATGACCTCTCTAAATTCTTACAGAACTTAAGAGCAACAAGCAAGGTTGTGAATAACTTAACACATATGCCTACCAGTGGAAAGCCAAGATCATCAGCAAATTATAATTCAGCAAGCACATCACGCCCTCATTTTCTACCGCATCAGGGGAGGGGCCATTACCCTCCCCGGCTCAATCGATCATACAGGCAAAATCAAGGCCCAACAAAGAAGAAGTTCATGAGAACATGAACTGTTTTCTTTCAGAGGTAAGAGATTTTCCCCAATTTGTTGATTCTTCTCTTTTGCCTTACCTTACAGAAAAAGTCAACCTTTTTTAAGGAGGGCAAGTGTCCAATTCTTTGGATGCTTGGAAGCAACTCACGTCAGACAAATGTGTCTTACAAACAGTTTGATGTGAAAATATAGAGTTTATCTCCGAACCACCCACTCAAACATCCCATCCTCCCAACAGTATCTCAAAAGTCAATGTTGAATTGGTTGACAAAGAGATAACCAAACTATTATTAAAGAATGTTATTCAGGATTGCCATAATGCTCCTATAGAATTTATTTCACCAATATTCACTGTTCCTAAGAAGGATGGTGGTATACGTCTTATTTTGAACTTAAAAAAGCTTAATTCCTGTGTTGAAAATTTTCATTTTAAGATGGATAATATCAATACTGTGCTAGGCCAAGGCCTGATAACTCCAAATTTCTGGATGGCAGTGATTGATCTGAAAGATGCATATTATAGTGTGCCTATTCACCCCGACTCACAGAAATACTTGCGCTTTACTTATAAAGGGAAACTGCATCAATATACAGCTTTTCCAAATGGACTATCCATTAGTCCTCGAAAATTTACAAAATTAATGAAACCAGTTTTGGCACACATTCATACATTGCATCACATCATAAGTGGTTACATTGATGATTTTTATTTGCAAGGCACCACATACAAGCAATGCATTGCTAATGTAATACAAACAGTAAAAGTGTTTGACAATATTGGGCTTGTACCCCATCCAGACAAGTCAACATTCATACCAGTACAGGAGATTGTTTTGCTAGGTTTTGTCATTAACTCAATCTATATGACAATAAGATTGACACCTGAGGAAATAAAACACATAAAAGAACTGGGAAAACAGACTATAGACTCAATACGTCATATAAAAATACGTTTGGTTGCTAAACTTATTGGCTGTCTTATTGCCAGCCTCCCTGCGATAATGTATGAGGCACTTTATTACAAGTATTTAAAAAAAGAAAAAATTGCTGCACTTATCATGTAAAGGAAATTTTGATGCCTTTATATCTCTATCGCAAATGCTAAGTATGAACTTGACTGGTGGTTAAATCATATTGATACCAGTTTCAATCGCATAAGATGCCCACCTGTGGATGTTGTTTTATATTCAGATGCATCATTGAAAGGATGGGGTGCTGTTAAGGGGGAAATATCAACAGGGGTAGATGGTCAGCTGTAGAGGCAAAATGCCATATTAATGTCCTGGAATTACACGCTGTTCTATTGGCGTTGAAATGTTTTAAGGTTTCTATTACTACCAAACACGTACAAATCCTGGTTGATAACACCACTGCAGTAGCTGTCATTAACCATATGGGCAGTGTACACAGTGACAGCTGTCATTTAATGGCCAGAAAAATTTGGGAATTTTGTTTTCGTAATGATACTGTATATGGCTCACAACTGCCCATCTACCAGGAGCCACTAATGTTGACGCTGACCATGCATCTCGAACTTTTATCAGTGTTGATACTGAGTGGATGCTCAATTCCACATGTCTCGTCGAAGCATTACAAACGCTCAAATTTCAGCGAAGTATAGACCTTTTTTCTTCGCGATTAAACAAACAATTTGAAAAATACTGTGCGTTTAATCCAGACCCAGGTGCAATAGCCATTGATGCTTTCTCCATGTCATGGTCAAATTTACCCTTTTACTGTTTCCCACCATTTAGTTGTATTCTGAAAGCACTTCAATAGATAATACAAGACCGAGCAACTGGCATATTAGTAGCCCCCAATTGGACGACTCAGGCTTGGTACCCCCATTCTGAAATCATTACTGATTGCACCACCAGTAGTGTGCAGACCGTCACGCAGCCTCTTGAGACTTCCATCAGCCCCCGATCAAATTCATCCACTTCACAGAAAGATGGAACTTCTTATTTGTCTCTTATCGGGGAGAAACTTAAAGCACAAGGATTGTCCCAAGAGCTCCATAAAAATTATATTGGCATCCTGGAGAGCAGGTACTCATGGTCAGTATCAATCTCAAATTATCAAATGGCAAGAATTTTGCGCGCAACATAAGTGTGATATGATATCGCCGCCTGTTACATTTGCGGTGGATTTTTTGGCGCAGTTATCTGACTCTGGTATGTCTTATAGTTCTGTTAACACTGCACGAAGTGCCTTGTCCAGTCTTCTACAGTTCCATGATGTAAATATGCCATTTGGGCATTTACCAGTTGTTAAACGTTTCATGAAAGGGTTGTATGAGTTGAAGCCATGTTTCCCCCAATACAAGACAATTTGGGATGTAAGCGTTGTACTTAATCATCTTCGCAAGCAGCCACCTATACTGGAGCTTAGTCTAACAGATCTCACTCTACATTTGACCTTTCTACTATGTCTATTGAGTGGTCAACGTTCCCAGACTATA